GGCAAGTTCAATATCTTATCCAAAGTTCATGGTGTTGCTTGTTGGCCCAGTTGTGAAGATTTTTGTTTTCTTTTCGTTGAAGTGTAAGCCACACCCAGTCCGATTTTCATCAGAAAGTACACGTTCTCTCCAGCAAGGCAAGGTGGTATCATCTGCATAGTGAAAGTTGTTAACGAGTCTTCCCTCCAATCCCGAGGCTGCATTCCTCTTTTAGTCCCATTTCTGAGATTCCTGCTCAGCATACATAGTGAATAAACATGTTACAGGGATGTAACGCTGGTGCACACTATTCCTGTTTCAAAACCATGCATATCCCCTTGTTGTGTTCTGTTCTGCCTCTTAGTCTATGCATAGGGTCTGCACAAGCACAATTTAGTGTTCTGGAATTCCTACTCTCTTATCCATTATTTGTCATGATCCATATAGTCAAACACCTTTGCCTCGCCATTAAAATCTAAGTAAACATCGATATCCCTCCTTCCATGTCCTTGTCTGAACCTGACTTGAATGGCTAGCAATTCCCTGTGCATGTATTATTGCCACCGTTTTTTAATCATATTCAGCAAAATTTTACCTACATGCGGTATAAATGAGATTGCTTGATAATTTCCACATTCCGTTGGACTATCATTTTTTTTGAATGGGCAGAAAATTGGATCTATTCTTGGCATGGATGAGCAAGCACCTCCCAGGTTGATTAATCTCAACTGGTGTTCCAATTCCTGGAGCTTTATCACTTATGCCTTTAGTGCAGCTTAGACTTCTTCCTTCAGTATCATTACATAACTGTCAAACCTAATCACTGCATAACTGACAGTCCCTGAGGATGATGGCCCAACCACACGGACATGTAGCCTTTAATCATAGCCAGTGTACCCACTACCTAGGTGTTCCATACTGCCACATACAGGTGATTAATGCATAACACAGACAGATAAGAGATATTTTAACCGGGTTCTAATACAAACTGCTGATAATTCAGGAGTAGGTGTGTTGTTGCTACAGTTATTTGGAATGATGTTGTTTATGCTTATTTTGTAATCTCTGTATTATGATTTTGAGATCTACAGGGAAAAGAACTATGTCTCCTTCACAGCTACATCCTTGGAATCTATAACAGAATCTAGTAAATTAAAGTCTCGTCAGTCTGAATACTGCCAGTATGTACCTAATAAAGGAGCCCTGGGGGCATAGTGGTTATGTGTTGGGCTGTGAGTTGAAGGGCCAGCAGTTCAAAACCACCAGTCACTATTCGAGAGACAGATGAGGCTTTCTACTCCCAAGAGTTAGTCTCAGGAACTCACAGGTGCAGTTCTACCTGTCCTATAGGGTGGCATGACTAGGCAACGACTCCACTCGATGGCAGCAAGTTTGGTTTGAATTTCTAATGTACCTGAGAAAGACCTGCTGAGAAACACCTGTGGAATGAACAACTAAGTAACCCTTCTTCAACCAGATGTCTCAGTCTATTAAAATCAGGGGTTGATTGGGGCTCACAGTCAATGAAGCATCAAACCTACATTCTCCCAAACCAATCCTGGAGCACGGTGGAGTGATCTTAAAAACTCACATTCCCAGGCCCTGTCGAATTAAACTGGAGGACGAAGGGCACGGAGTAAGCGTTAAGACTTTGCATTTTAAAAACGACAATTCGAATAAGTCTTAAATTTTGGTTCAAGTTTGCACAAAGTCACTCCGGAGAATTCAAACAGGACAGCGCACTCATTCAACCCGGTACAGCTGTAAAATCCTTAGAAACACTTGTTAGGTTCCCAAGGATTTAAAATTATTCCTTTCTACTTCCTAGCGCGTAGCACGGTGCCCGGCATTCATTCAATAAGAACTCAAGATACATTTACTGAATAGCCTCGTATTGAAAAAAAAAACTCTTTCAAAGAATATTCCTGTAAAGACAGACTTCTCAAGAGCCGCCACAAAGACCACAAAGCGCGATGCGACAACGACAGAAAAGGAGGGTACCAAGGTGAACAAAAATAAAAGCAAACACACAAGCCTAGCAAACACCGGGACTAAGTTCAGCAGCCCGTCACGTGTCCACCCAGCACCGCTCTCCTCCCAGACACGTGCGTTACATTTGGCCCCGCCCCGACGGATGTGACGCCACAGCCGAAGGGCGC